ATCCCCCTCTGGGCCTCTGCTGTCTGTCTCTTTGTGGCTGCTTGACCCTGACCAGGGCATGGGGAGGGGTTTAGACAGTGCCCTCTCTCCAGCTTGCTTCTCCTTCCTGAAGTTCCTCTGAGGAACCGGCCTCATCCTAACACAATTGTTCTTGGTCACAGATGAGGAAGAGGAAGAGTTCACCGAAGAAGAAGATCAGGAAGAGACAGAGTCCACAGAGGGGAAGGAAGAAGGTAAGAAATCCATCTACCTCCATCCATTCACTCCTTTAGCCCTTCATTCATTCCACAATAATATGAGATACCTACTGTGTGCAAAGTGCTGTGCTAGACATTGGGAATGATGCTTAGTCCTGTTCCCAGAATGTGTTTTAAACCTATTTAGGGTAAAGTCCTGTTCTCTTTACCTTTAGAGAGAAAACAACACAAAATTCTTTATAATACAAAGCTCCCATTTTACATCTAAATTATCTTCTTAAATGTGAAGCAACACAGCACAACAGAGGGCAAAGACAGTTACTGGGTCCACTGAGATTACATTTGACCTGTACAATGTTTAAATTTTTTTAGGCTGGCGCGTGGCTCATGCCTGGAATCCCAGCACTCGGGGAGGCTGAGGAGGGTAGATTGCTTGAGCTCATGAGTTTGAAACCAGCCTGAGCCAGAGCAAGACCTCTGTCTCTAAAAAATAACCAGGCATTGTGGTGGGCACCTGTAAGTCCCAGTAACTTGGGTGGCTGAGGCAAGAGGATCTCTTGAGCCCAAGAGTTGAACTTATTGTGAGCTATGACACCAGGGTACTCTACTGAGGGTGACAAAGTGAGACACTGTCTCAAATAAATAAATAAAAATAATTTATTTTAGAAAATCAGTTGCTAACATATTAAAAACTAGGAGTTTTTTTTCCCCCAAAGAATAAAAGAAACTGAGATTTCAACTATGAATTTGCCTTTTCACCTTCTTTGGAAAATTTGGAAAGAACAACAATGCTCAATTCGGACTTCCCCCAGTCCCAGAGCGTTGGCTGTGGGGAGGGGCTGCTCCCTTTACAGGGGTTGGCTTGGCCTCGCCACTGTCAGGCTTGCCTGCTTCACTCATTCCTGTTATCTGCTGGTCCCTTGAAGGCAATGAGTTTGCCCATCTGGCAATCTGATTAAAAGCCTGGGCCTGGAATCGTAGCTGTAGCCCAGGTCAGTGGTGTGATCTTGAGCAGTTCATAACTTCTCTGAGTCTTAGGCTACTCATCTGTGCATGGAGGCATAAGAGTAGTGGGGAATAAATTAGATGATCATTTAGTACAGTATCTGGCGCATAGGAAAAACATATTTGCTAATTAGCACCTGCTTATGAATGTTATTTTTCAAGCCGTAGTTACTGGAACTAAATTTTTTTTTTTTTTTTGAGACAGAGTCTCATTACATCACCCTTGCTAGAGTGCTGTGGGGTCACAGCTCATAGCAACCTCAAACTCTTGGGCTTCAGTGATTCTCTTGCTTCAGCCTCCCGACTAGCTGTGACTACAGGCGCCTGCCACAATGCCTGGCTATTTTTTGGTTGCAGTTGTCATGTTGTTTAGCAGGCCCGGGCTGGGATCGAACCTGCCATCTTCGGTGTATGTGGCTGGTGCCCTACTCACTGAGCCACAGGCGCCAAACCTGGAACTAAATTCTAATCCGGCTGAAAAACATAGGGCAATCTTGTACTTGATATGCCATCCATGATGTCTTGGCAGCTAAATTCTTTTGTTTTAAATGGAAGGGTGCAGGCAGGATTTAGAGTTTGATGATTTTATGTGTTATGGAGTCCCTATCTCACCATGTGCTTATGTCTTTTTATTTCAGGACACCAATAAGGAGCTGGATGAATCAAAGACCCTCTAGATGCAGAGAGACCCGGGAGGGTGGGGATGGGCCCAGCTGCCTTGGTGACAGGCCCAGAGTGGGAGGGGTCGGGGCCCCTGGAGGGGCAATGGGGAGGTGTGTCTTCTTTCTGCTCAGAGAGCAGGGACTAGAGTAGGACCCCCACCGCTGTGTCCAGCAACCACTGAATCAGAGTTGGAAACGTGCTTGAAACAATCACCCAGGACACTTTTCTACGATGGTGCAAAATGGAATATTTTGTACATTTTTAAAATGTGATTTTTGTATATACTTGTATATGTATGCCAACTTGGTGCTTTTTGTAAAGGAACTTTTGTATGATAATTCCTGGCCATTGTGTGACTGGCGATTGTCAGAAAGAGGGGGAGGAAGCCAGGCTGACACAGCTGCCCACTTCCCTTCCTTGGTGGGAGGACTGGGTGGCACCCACAGGCTTAGAAAGGGATGATGTACTGTATTTCAGTGCCTGTCCCTGACATATGGGATGGTAACTGGGTTTGTGATATGTTGTTTTAATAAATGCACAACGCTTTCTTCCTGTTATTCAAAGGATCTGGGGTTTCATTCAGCCTTTTTGTAGATGAACAGAAGGCCTGATAGGAGTAGAAGTAATCTCCAGGTAAAATCTATGTTCTCCCAAAGGAGTTCTTTAAACGATCATTCCCCAGTGTGAGCTCCTCAGAATATTGTCGCTTGAGATGACCCTCAATCGGTTGTTCCTCTGGTTCTCCAGAAAACAGAGCCTGAGGCAAAATTTAAACGCTTTAGTTGGAGATCCCACAAACCAAGAGCAAATTTCTCCTTTGTCCTCTGAAGGTTCATTGAAAATCGACTGACAAGTAGCAGATTAATAGGAGGAAAGGCACAGAAATGTATGTGGTCATAGTTTTAGGTGACATGGGAGCCTTCAGAATGCAGATCTAAAGATATAGGTGAAACTGTTCTTTTAGGTTTATGCTTAGGTTGGACATGGACAGCCATGTAGAAAAATTTCACATGATTGAACAAAAAGGATCTTTTCAATGCCAGTAGACTGAATGGGGAGACCCTGCGAGGCCTGTCTGTCCAGATTCTTCTTGGCCTGTCTGCAACATTCCTTCCTTCTACTTATAGGGCAAGATTCTTTCTGGAATAGGGGTCTTATGACCTATAATCAAACAAGGTGGTTCAGATAATTTCATTCTAAAAACATCCAGCGTTCACACAGAAAGGTAGGGGACTTTTTAGAACAGTATTTTTAGGTTTTATGGTTGGCTTTGGGGAAAGGAGTTCTGGTCCCTAGGACCCACCTTGGGGAAGGAATATAGTTTCCATGGCTAGCCTTCGTAGAGAATGAAGGGCCAGAAGCAGGAGGGTAGAAGGTCAGAGAGAAACTTTTGATTCTGAGACCTTCATATTGGGGGTTTTTTCTTATGAGACCTACAAGGTACACCTTCTAGGGCCGACAGAGTGAAGGAAATGGGACCAGGGCAGGCAAAGAAGGAATCAAATACAAGGTGTTGCATGACTGAGCTGGCTACAGCCAAAGACCTAACTAGTTGCTCAGTCATATGAGATGTTTTCAGCAGGCCAGAAAGAACACATTATTCAAAATAGTTCATCTAGGCTCAGTACCTGTAGCTCAGTGAGTAGGGAGCCAACCACATACACTGAGGCTGGTGGGTTCAAGCCCAGCCTAGGCCTGCTAAACAATGATGACAGCTGCAAACAAAAAACAGCCAGGAGTTTTGGTGGGCGCCTGTAGTCTCAGCTACTTGAGAGGCTGAGGCAAGAGAATCGCTGAAGCCCAAGAGTTTGAGGTTGCTGTGACCTGTGATGCCACAGCACTCTACCGA